AACCCCTAAAAATAAAAATAAATAAATTTTAAGAATTAAACCCTAAATCCTAAAATAAAAAAAAATTTTTTTTATCCCTAAACACTAAGGTAGCGTTTGGTAACATTTACGTTTTTGGTTTATGTTTATAAAATTTTATAAACTAGTTTCTGTTTATTTTTAGAAAAACATAAATTACAAACGTGTTTTGGTTTGAACAAATGTTTAAAAAAAATTTAAACCATAAACTAAAAAATATGTTTGTTCAAGCCTAAAATATTTATATTTATATTTATTATTTATGCAATGGGATCACACATATTATAGATAAAAAAATTAATTAAAAAAATATTTGAAAAAATTTATAATTGAAAAAAACGTGGTTGTAAAAATTATTGAAAAAAAAACGTGGTTTATATTTATTATTTATGACATGGGATCATACATATTATAATTGAAAAAAAATTAAATTGAAAAAAAAATATTTTTTCAAAAAAAATTGAAAAACTGAAAACGTAAGCTCATTTTTTGAGTTTACGTTTTTTTCTCAAATTTATAAACTGAGACAACCATTTATAACCAATACGATTTTTCCAAAAAAATTTCAATAACTTTTACAAACCACGTTTTTTCCAATTAATTTTTTTTAAATATTTTTTTTAATTAATTTTTTTTCAATTATAATGTGTGATCCCATTGCATAAATAATAAATATAAATATAAATATTTTAGGCTTGAACAAACATATTTTTTAGTTTATGTTTTAAATTTTTTTTTAAAATTTTGTTCAAACCAAACAGTTTGTAATTTATGTTTTTTTAAAAATAAACAGAAACCAGTTTATAAAATTTTTATAAATATAAACAAAAAACGTAAATGTTACCAAACGCTACCTTAGTGTTTAGGGATAAAATTTATTTATTTTTTTTATTTTAGGGTTTAGGGTTTAATTTCTTAAAATTTATTTATTTTTATTTTAGGGTTTAGATTTAGAGTTTAGAATTTATGGTTTAATTCTTAAAATTTATTTATTTTTATAAATCCTAAACCCTAAAATAAAAAAATAAATTTTAAGAATTAAACCTTCAACCCTAAAAATAAAAAATAAATTTTATCCCTAACAGTAAATAAAAAAAAATTAAGAATTAAAATAAAAGTAATCATTTTATATAGTTGATTATTATTTGCTGCATTAGGTCATGATTATAATCCACTATGCTTGGGTGCTAGTAATATACATTGACTAGAGCTGATGCATGTTAAAAAATTTTAAGTCAACAAATCAAGCGGCAGCAGGTTTTGACTTGGGGGGCTTTTTTTTTCGCATACTTTGTTAAGTCAATTTAATTGATCTGTTAATTTTCCAAATTAGGTTTAGTTTTGGATGGAATTCTCAAAGTTAAGGCTAAGCCCGCTATTACAAGTTACGTTTTCAACACTGTTTGAGTTTGAAAATTTTTGAATGAATATAGTAAAAACGCTATATAACTCACTAGCCGTTTTTGAAGGTTTAAGAAAGGGCATAATTGGACCAAGAAAAGCCACATTGGTTAAAGGTAAGTTTGTAAAAAAACGGTGATTCCAAACGAAACACTTTAGCACTGTGTTGTGAAGAAAAGTGTGGGTTAGAAACCACGCTTGTGTCAACACTATCGCAAACGACAAACACACACTTCACAAACACACAGCTCTCTCTCGTGGCGTCTCAGCTCTGACACAAATCAACAAACACAGTACAGCACACGGAAACTGCACAGCAATCACACACTCACGCTCAATATATATATATAATTTTAATATAGTTTTATAATTTTAATATAATGAGTAATGGATTCGCAATCCCCCTTTTCCCGCCCCAGCCCTTTTGACCCCCTCTCTTCTGCGGTTGGTGTACCTTTTTCTTTTCTTTTTTCTTTTTTTTCTCTGCTCCTCCAATCACCGGACTTGCGCCCACGTGGCAAACGGGGGTGAGGGGTGACCGCGCCAAAAGGGGGTCCCAAGGCGATTATTCTTTAAATATATTATATAGTTAATTTTATTTTCATAAAATTGATTAATATTAAAATATATAAAATAATTTATAATAACAAATATTAATGCACTATATAGTATATGAGATTAATTTTTTTATTGTTAATTCTTAATTTTTTGTGTTTATTTTTACTTGTTTGTGGATTAAATTTTTTTTTAATTTTAATTTTTTTTTTTTTTAATAAAAAATTTTGAGGACGGGATTTAGCGATTTATAAAAAAAATAAATTTTAGAGAGAAGGGTTTGCTCACCGTAGGTTGTTGTCGCCGGCGAACTCTAAACATCTAAATCCTAAACCTGAGAATATAAAATAAATAAATTTTAAGAATTTAAGAGCGCCTAGAATCTCTAAAATAAAAAAGAAAAAATTTTTATCCGCGTAAACACTAAGGGTAGCGTTTTGGGTAACTTTACGTTTGTTTGGTTTATGTTTATAAAATTTTTATAACCAACTAGGTTTCTGTTTATGTTTTAGAAAAACAGTAAAATTACAGGAACGTGTTTGGTTTGAACAAAATGTTGGGGTAAGAAGAAATTTAAACATAAACTAAAAAATATGTTTGTTTGCAAGCCTAAAATATTTAATATTTTATTTATGTATTTATGACAATGGGACAACACATATTTATAAGTAAAAAAAAATTAATTAAAAAAATATTTGAAAAAAAATTTTAATTGGAAAAAACGTGGTTATGTTGTTGCAAAGTTATGTGAAAAAAAACGTGGTTTAGTTTTATTATTTATTTGACATGGGGATATCATACATATTATAATTGCAAAAAAATTAAATTAGAAAAAATAATTTGGGGCAAACAAATTAATTGAAAAAAAAAATATTTTTCAAAAAAAAAATTGAAAACTGAACGTTTTAAGGCTTCAATTTTTTGGAGTTTACGTTTTTTTTCTCAAATTTATAAACTGAAGACAACCGACTTTATAAACGCAACGATTTTTCAAAAAAAGATTTCAATAACTTTTTAACAAACGACGTTTTTTCCAAATAATCTTGTTTTTTAAATATTTTTTTTAATTATTTTTTTTCAATTATAATGTGGTGATCCCATTGTCAGTAAATTAATAAATATAAATTATAAATATTTTAGGCTTTGAACAAACATATTTTTAGTTTATGTTTTAAATTTTTTTCTCACACTCACTTTTGTTCAAACCAAACACGTTTGTAATTTATGTTTTTTTTAAAATTAAAAAAACAGAAACGCGAGTTTATAAATTTTTATAATATTAAAGCAAAAAACGTAAATGTTAACAAACGCGCTACGCTTATGTGTTTAGGGAATAAAATGTTATTTATTCTTTTTTATTTTTAGGGTTTTGAGGGTTTATGTCTTAAAGAATTTAGTTTATTTTTATTTTAGGGTTTAGGATTTATGAGTTTAGAATTTATGGTTTAATTCTTAAAATTTATTTTTTTTTTATAAATCCTAGAACCCTAAAAATAAAAAAAGATAAATTTTTAAGAATTAAACGCTTCAACCCTAAATAAAAATAAATTTTATCCCTAAACAGTAAAATAAAAAATAAATTAAGAATTAAAATTAAAAAAAGAATATTTTTATATAGTTGGATTACAAACTATCTTTTTTTTTTAAAAAAAAAAAAAAAAATCTAATCACTTTGAAAATAAATCATTTATTTTTTTTTAAAAAAACAAATCTAATTTGATCACTTAGTTACGATTGTCCATTCAAGAACATAAGCTGATCTTTGATTTATAAATTAAGCTTCTCCTCTCCACTCAAAGAATAAGTTAATTTTTAACTTACAAAAAGTTATAAGCTGTATTGTTAAGCTGAACCAAGCACGTGAAAATAACTTAAATTAAGCTAAAAGCTTAAATAAGCTGGAAATAAGTCTTACCAAACATGGCTATTATCTTATTTAATTTACGTCATCTCTCTATTACATCATTTTAAACCCAACTCATATTTCATAAAAATTCAAAAAATGTACTTATTTATAAGAATAATGCTTGGGACCCCTTTTGGGGGTCACCCCTCACCCCCTTTGCCACGTGGCAAGTGGTGATTGGAGGAGCAGGAAAAAAAAGAAAAAGAAAAAGAAAAGGTAACCAATGAGAGAGAGAGGGGGTCAAAGGGGGTGGGGGGAAAAGGGGGATGAATCATTACTCATATATTAAATTATAAATATATATTAAAATTTATATATATATATTGAGTGTGAGTGTGTGTGTGAGTCGTGTGTGTGTGTTTGTTTGTATTTGTGTCAGAGTGAGAGAGAGAGAGAGTGTGTGTTTGTGAGTGTGGTGTTTGTGTTTGGGATAGTGTTGAAAGCGTGGTTTCTAACCACACTTTCTTCACAACACAGTGAAAGTGTTGTTTGGAATCACGTTTTTACAAACTTACCTTAACAATGTGGTTTGTAATTATGCTTTCTTAATTAAAAACGTAGTTTATAATAGCGTTTTTACTATTCATCAAAATTTCAACTCCAAACAGTGAAAACGTAACTTGTAATAGCGCTTTAGCCTAATTTGAGAATTCCATCCAAACTAAACCTAATTTGAAAATTAAAATAATAAATTGACTTAATATGGAAAAAGCCCCCAAGTCAAACCTGGGCTTGATTTGTTGACTAATTTTTTAAATGATAGCTCTAGTTCAATGTATACTAGACCCAAGATAGATTATTAATATGACTATGCAACACCCATATTGATGTAAGCTAATTTTTAAAATTGTAGACCATGCAATATCCATATTGACAACTGGATTAAAAGTTAATTTTTTGAAATCAGCTCACTTCTTGACCTTTTTAAACATATTTTTTTTTAAAATCAAAAAAAAATTAAAAAAATTAACTTTTAATCTACTTCTCAAAATAAGTTTCATAAGGAACTTTTGATATATTGAACATTGATTGATTGAGATAATTCTCTCTTTAGAACCTAGGGTTCTCTCTCTCTCTAAATTCTATCTCATGTTCTTGATTGGACCCATCACATATCACCACAACAAATTCTTGAGGAAGATTAATCAAATTAAATTATGGAGGAAAATGTCCCAGACCCCCTTTTCCCCCCTATCCCCTTGACCCCTTCTCTCTTTAATTGGTTAGATTTTCTTTTTTCTTTTTCTTTTTTTCCTTCTCCTCCAATCGCCAACCGCCACGTGTGTGGGGGGAGGTGGTGGGGGTGGTAATTGGAGGGGGTCTCTATCAAAACCCAATTATGGACTTTGTCAATGAGTGTTTTAAGAATCCCTGTTAACGAACTTAAAATGATCATATGTTTTGTGTAAAAGTACATGCTGTTAAAATGTATAACTTTAATCTTTGTTGACCAAATGACTTTAGAACGATTATTCAGAAGACTAAATTAAAAATATATTGGTAACATCATTGCCGGCGCCACATTAAAGCCAGCAAACAATAAATTACAAACCAAATCTCATCTAATTTTAAATCCTATGGGGTTATGTGATATAATTTATCTGAACTGTTTATATATATATATATATATATTTTTTATTTTGAGAGTTTGTCAGATTATTTAATGTAACTTTGTGCAACTTCCTTCTATTTATAACTTATTAGGTAAAAATAATTTAAATAAGCTGGAAAAAAAAATTATCTAGAAGTTAGAAGAGAGATACTTTTGACTTTTATTTTTATATCTTTAGCATTGTTGAATATATAGATGAGATAGGATTTCTTCGTATCCGTCTTATTTCTAAATAAAATATTTGAATTATTTGGAGAAAAAAATAAATATAAAAAAAAAGATGAAATTGAGTTGAAAACGTACAAATAAAGTATTTGAATTCTAGTTTTACAAATTAACATTGCAATATTTAAAAATATGAGAAATTTCATTGAGTTGAGATTTCTTATTTTATAAATAATTCCATGGTAGTTGGTTTCATACTATCTAACCTGATATTAAAAACATAAAGATGACACTATCAAAGAAGACTCTCACTACGTGACAACTGGTGAACTAATAATTTATTAAATCGAAAATTTTTAATGGAGATAAGGTCGAATTCTTTAATAGTTCATGTGGAAGAACCATATGTCACTGACCAATCAAAGTAGACCATATCAAAATCAATTAGTAATGAATGGTGACTAAAACATAAAAATATATATTGACGTAGTCCTCTCAAGCTTTTTTAATTTGAAAAAAAAAAAAAAATAGATTGAAACTAATCACATCACATGTTCATCTTGATTACCAGTGTTCACATATGCTGCCACTTTGCACAGCGTGGACGTAGTTAGCCAAAGCGACTACAACAGCTGCAACACCGCCAATGCCCTCACATCCTATACTGGAGGAAATAACAATGTTTACCTTACTACCACCGGTTCAATGTACTTCATATGTCCCACTCCCGGTCACTGCCAATCAGGCATGAAGCTAGCCGTCACTGTCACGGCAGCAGGCACCTCCCCGCCACCGCCACCTCCGGCAGCATACTCAACACAGTACACCGTTGGAGACGCCTCAGGCTGGGCCCAGCAAGTCAATTATATCACTTGGGTTTCTGGCAAAACATTCAGAGTTGGTGACACTCTCTGTAAGTTGGTTTATTTTCATTTTGGGTTCATGAGATAAAAAGGATTTTTTTGAAAAGTTGGTTAAAAGTTAGTTTTTTTTGGCTTTTTTTGAATTTTTTTTTAAAAATATGTAAAAACAATAAAGAGATAATATGACCTAAAAAAATTAAAAAACCAAAAAATTGACTTTTAATCAGTTATCCAAAAGACCCAATTTTAGATTAAAAAAAAAAAATCAGAAAGCCAAAAAGTTGGCTTTTAATCAGCTACCCAAAAGAGGCAATTTTAGATGTTTTTACATGCATATAAGTTTTTTAGCAATTAGTCTAAAAACACACAAACAAATACAAAAAGCACAAAAGTCACATCGGTTAAGAGTGAAGTTTTCTTGGTCAAAGTGGTACAAATTTATCATAAATGAGGCCTCTTGGTTATTTATAGTTTTTTGAAAATTCCTATACAGAGTGATGATATACAAACAAATTTTTTATTAAAAAATCTGTACAGAATGATATGATTTTTTGTAGTCGTTTTAATTTCAATCGAAACATCTATCATTGTTCTTATAATTTTTAAATATCATTGATATGTCATTCTGGATGTGTTTCCCTGTATGAATATTCTTTTTATATGCAAAACACTTTTCTTTCTAGGAAGAGTGTTACGTTGAGAACCTTTTAGCCTGCATGCACAGGGTATAGCTGTGGATGCAACTGATAGCTATGGATTTAGCAGTTCTTAATCCTACTTGTTAGATTTTAAATTCTACATTTTTGGGGGCATATTCTACACATTTCTAGTAGTTGAATTTTGTATGCTTCAATTTGTTTAGCATAGTTGTTAAAATTATTAGAGGTATTTAGGTAACGAAATCTCTAGACTATATTTAACAAACTTGAATGGGTTAAAAAGAAATATGAAACAAGTATCTAACAACCGTGAAAAAACAATTTTTGTATTGGGCCCTTTTTTTTCTTTTTCTTTTTTTTTGTCTCTACTTTTGCATATGCATAAAACCATTGCAAAGCTCCAATGATCCAAATGATCAATTGGCTAATCTTTAATAAATTGATTTTAATCCACTTTTGACTCAACATGCAAGCCCTACTTATTTAAAAACATCACCAAGTCAAGCCTGGGCTTGATTTGTTGACTAATTTTTAAAATTTTAACTCTAATTCAATGTATACTAGACCCAAGATAGACTTTTAATATGACTATGCAACACCCTTATTGATGTAAGCTAATTTTTAAAATTGTGGACTATGCAATATCCATATTAGCAACTGGGTTAAAAGCTGATTTTTTTAAATCATATCACTTCTTTATCTTTTTAAACATATTTTTAAAAAAAAATCAAAAAAAAAGTGTCAAAAATTTACTTTTAACCTACTTCTCAAAATAAGCCTAAACTTTTGATATATTGAACATTGATTGATTGAGATAATTCTCTCTTTAGAACCTAGGGTTCTCTCTCTCTAAATTCTATCTCATGTTCTTGATTGGACCCATCACATATCACCACAACAAATTCTTGAGGAAGATTAATCAAATTAAATTATGGACTTTGTCAATGAGTGTTTTAAGAATCCCTGTTAACAAACTTAAAATGATTATATATTATATATAAAAGTACATGCTGTTAAAATGTATAACTTTAATCTTTGTTAACCAAATGACTTTAGAACGATTATTCACAAGACTAATAAATTAAAAATATTTTGGTAACATCATTGCCGGCGCCACATTGAAGCCAGCAAACAATAAATTACAAACCAAATCTCATCTAATTTTAAATCCTATGGGGTTATGTAATAAAATTTATCCGAACTGTTTATATATATATATATATTATATTTTGAGAGTTTGTCAGACTATTTAATGCAACTTCTGTTTATAACTTATTAGGTAAAAGTAATTTAAATAATCTGGAAAAAAAAATTATCTAAAAGTTAGAAGAGAGATGCTTTTGACTTTTATTTTTATATCTTTAGCATTGTTGAATATATACATGAGATAGGATTTCATTCTAAATAAAGTATTTGAATTATTTGGAGAAAAAAAATATATAAAAAAAAAAAAGATGAAATTGAGTTGAAAACGTACAAATAAAGTATTTGAATTCTAGTTTTACAAATTGACATTGCAATATTTAAAAATATGAGAAATTTCATTGAGTTGAGATTTATTATTTTATAAATAATTCCATGGTAGTTGGTTTTATGCTATCTAACCTGATATTAAAAACATAAAGATGGCACTATCAAAGAAGACTCTCACTACGTGACAACTTGTGAACTAATAATTTATTAAATCGAAAATTTTTAATGGAGATAAGGTCGAATTCTTTAATAGTTCATGTGGAAGAACCATATGTCACTGACCAATCAAAGTAGACCATATCAAAATCAATTCGTAATGAATGGTGACTAAAACATATAAATATATATAGACCTAGAACTCTCAAGATCTTTTAATTTGAAAAAAAAAAAAAAAAAATATAGATTCAAACTAATCACATCACATGTTCATCTTGATTACCAGTGTTCACGTATGTTGCTACTCAGCACAGCGTGGACGTAGTTAGCCAAAGCGACTACAACAGCTGCAACTCCGCCAATGCCCTCACATCCTATACTGGAGGAAATAACAATGTTATCCTTACTACCACCGGTTCAATGTACTTCATATGTCCCACTCCTGGTCACTGCCAATCAGGCATGAAGCTAGCCGTCACTGTCGGGGCGCCACTTTCGGGTAGCGGAGCGGTCGGAAACTTTGGTCACAAGAGTTTTGTAGTGCTTGGGCTTTCACTTTCGGTAGGGGCCGTGAGTGCACTTATGAGCTAGGCAAGGGGCAGTGCTGTCTTTTTACTCCAATAATACTGTGTGCATGGTTTCATGATTATGATATGTAGTTTTTTTTTTTTTTTTTTTTTTTTTGTCTGATTGTCGGATTATGAGATGTGGTTTTATGTTGAATGCTATTTCGATTTGAATAACATGGAGATTATGAGATTTAGATTTTTGTTAACATTATTTGAAGAAAAATGCTTGAGACGCAAATATTTGAATTGTTAATATTGGTGTTTTTAGGCTTAGTTTATCTTGACGTAAAATATTTTTCTTAAAAATATTTTACTCATTTTTCGTTGTTTGGTTAAACAAAAAACAAGTAAAAGATTTTTTAAGAAAAATATTTTTGCATTATTTTTCCAAAAATGACTTACCTTTAAAAATTCTGTAAGTCAACATTTACAAACTTAACTCTCACTCACTACATTTTCAACACATTTAACATTTTTAAATAAATATCTTAGCTCACTAAAAAGTCATAAATTTTTTTTTTTATCAGCAAAGAAAACTTTATTGATTGGAGAGGAAGAAGAGAAAACATACAATCAATAAAAAAAGAGGAACCGCAAAGAGCCACAAACTCAAGCAAATGCAAGCTTCCCAAGGTTGATAAGGAACCAACCAAAGAAAAGAATAAACAAAGCAAAAAATACCAGCTGAAGAATCAAACCGCCCCTGATCTGTCTCCACTTGAAGACAAGATCATCAACTGAGTAGGAGAATTCCTTAATTGTTGCTTTGAGCCAAATGGCAGTTCTGATTTTGATGAGTTCAAGCAGACCAGATAAGTTGGGTTGTGCGTAGGACTGCAAATGAATAGAGCCATTCATGAACAAGCTCAAGCTCGGCTCGGTAAGAGCTCATTCGAACTCGGTTCGTTAATTTTTTTTGCCGTTCGAGCTCGAGCTCGTTAAATTTTTAATAAACAAGCCCAAACAGTCTAAAACTCGGCTCGTTAGCTGGCTCGTTTAATATTTATTATTTATATATTAAATAATATAAAATTATGTATAAAAAATAAGAGAAATATGCTATTTATATATTTAAAAAATATAAATGTAAATAATACTTAACTATAGATAGTATATTTATATAATAGTGGTAGTAGATATTATTATTTTAGTAAAATATGTAATGTAAAACTATCTATAAAATAGGATAAATATGTTATTTATATATTTAAATAGTGTAAATGTAAATAATAACTAACTACAGATAATACATTTATATAATAGCGGTGGTAAATATTATTATTTTGATAAAATATTGACTTTTCTTTTAGTATGTTTATATATATTGTATATATAATTGTATAATCAAATTTTCAATTGTAACTTTAATCTCATACCCAAGTATAAATTTATAATATCTTTGGCTTGTTAAAGCTTGTGAACAAGCTCGAGCTCGTTTGGTTAAATTTTTATTGAGCTTGAACTCATTAAAATCTTAATAAAAGCCTAAACATACCTCGACTCGGCTCGGCTCGTTTCGTTTGCAGCCCTAGTTGTGCCCAGAGAATACACATTCAGTTCTATGCTTTCAAAGAGACCAAAGAACAACTAAGGGGATGGCTCTCCAACTAAAAAGTCATAAATGACATTTTATTGCATCAAAATTTCTCTTTTAAACAAAAAATATTTTTGTTTCAAGTGCCGCCTAAACGCTAAAAACAAATATTTTTTCTGTGTAAAATCAATTTACAAGAAATATTCTTTTGTGTAAAATATTTTACGTCAAAACAAATGAAACCTTGTTGATATATTGACCTTCCTCCCATGTTCTAACAAGCAAATCTTTGCCCCCCCAAAAAAAACAAAGAGGAAAAAATCACAAAAATGATAACAATGATGACATCGACAATGGCGACAACAATAAAAATTTAAAAAAAAAAAAAGAGAGATTAAATTTTGTAGGGATCAACCGCCATGTTTTATGACATCCAATGTTTAACTGCTATCCTTTAAAAGTCTTGCTAACCACCACCTTAAGGGCATTAGTCAAGAGTATAATCTCACCACTAAGGCCCCGTTTGGGGACTTATTTTTTTAGCCAATTAGCCAAAAAATTACTAAATTAGTCAAAAAGCCAACAACTCATACCAAAAAATCAAAGATTCTCTTTTCTTTCTACTTTTTACACATCTTTTCGTAATTAGCCAAAAAGTCATTCCAAACATACAAGTTTTTTTTACCTACCTTTTTAGTCAAATAGCCAAAAAATTCCTAAATTAGCCTATTCCCAAACGAGGCCTAAGAATATAGTATGAATCTACTGCAGATCTATGACTTCATTTGATAGTTGCTTCTTCCCATATATTTAATAAATTTTACCAATAAGATAATATACTTTTCACATATTTCAATACATATTTTATCTATTTTCCAACCTTCTGCTTTCAAATTTTTGGTACCAAAAAGACAAGTGTCCCTCTCTTCCATTAACTAGGATCTTTAATAATTTTTTGTGATAAATTGTCAAATTTTGACAATGCTATCAATAGTTATATGTACTTTATAAAGATTCAATAGTGGTTGGAAAGATGAGATGATGGTTGTGATAAAAAATTATATAAGCATCAGAACAAGGTTGTCAGATTTTGACATTTTAACATTTAGCATTACAAATGCCAAGTTTAAGATTTTATGCAATATGCAAAGTCCTGTTTGCCCTGCAAAAATATTATTATTGTATGCCAAGCTTTAAATTGTTATAAATTTTATAATTTTGACTAAAATTTGATAACTGCCAAACACCCCATGCCATTTATGCTTTCAATTGGCAACCTATAGTCTCTCCAGATCTTGCATTCATATGTTATTCGCATTTATGTTTCAAAATAAATAAATTTTAAAAAAAATACAAAAATCATGCAAATGGCCTAGCAAGCAATTGGCATGGTTTAAGAGAATTCAGAAATTCCAAACCATAAGAAAATAAAGTTGGGACCCCTTTTTTTTTAGATTATTTTATTTATATTTAGGAAAAACAGATTGATTTATTGTGGATCTAACACTACTACATAAATAAGGAAAAATTAGTTTTAAGCCATTAAAGGTCATTCAATTTTTATTTTTTATTTTTAGATAACTCAAAACCGATCGTAGATGGACCCCAAGAGCTCAAATTTAGGAGATGTGCTACCCACCTGCTATTATTCAAATTTGTTGGAAATAAATGTAGCTAGATGTCCCATTTTATCCTACACAACATTTTTCCTTCTATATTCTAAGAGAAAAATGCAAATAATAACTTTATTTTCCTATAATACCCCCGTTATCTTTCTTAACTTTCTTGTTAGCTTCCTATTGCTTCTACCTAACAATGCATGAAAAACTAGAAAGACAATGGTTATTGTAACCATTTTAGCTGCTATCACATAAAAATTTAAGAAACTTCTACCTTAAATTTCTTGTTTGGATAAACTAAAAAAAGTTAAGAACTAGTTGAAATACCTTCTATTCTATCACAATTTTTAAAATTCATATCATTGGCCCCGTTTGGTGTAACTGTTAAAACAGATTATAAATTATAACTTAACAGATTATAGATTATGACTTTAATCAGAAGTTATTAATCTGTTTGATGTAACTGTTAAATTATAAATTTAAATTGCTGAATAATATTTGTTAAATAAGCTGTGAAGTAACTTTTTGCTATGTAAATGTCTTTTTTACCCTTGGTAGTTATAAATTGAATTTATCTTGACTTTTTACTATTCTTTTTCTTCATTTTGTTTTATTTTCTTTTTTGTTCTTCTCTTCTTACATATTAATTATTTAAAGATGAACCAACAAAATTAGTATAAAAAAATAAAATAAAATGGTTAAATAACACTCTTGATAATATAAAAATTGTTAATTTTTTTAATTTATTAACTCATTACAAAAATATACAATATACACTATTTTTGCATTTTATTGTTTAATTTATTATCAATTAATGGTTTAATTAGTATCAATTACTACTAAAATTATTAATTAATATCAATTAATATAAAATTTATTTATTTCATTAATGGCTTAAAATGCTTAATTTTTTTTTTTTTTTAATGAAAAGAACACTAAAAACCAAAGGGTTCATCGTTCATCGCCACCGTCGAAGACACAATGGCGATGGGGGATGGGGGACGACGACGGACAGTTGATCATCACCGTCGATCGTCATGCAATCGATCATGACTCTAGGGTTTCAGACCACGATGGCTAGGGTTTCGCCCCTCAATTGAGATCACAAACATGGAAGCTTGATCGCAAAGCTAGGGTTTACAACGCGATGGTGGTGGCGAAGAGAGAGAGAGACAGAGAGAGAGAAAACAACTCTGGTTCGTGAGTGTGAGAGAGAGGGAGAGCACTGGTTCATGAGAGAGAGAGAACTAGAAATCACCTTCTTTCGCTGAAAATCGCCTCCATTTGCCGGAAATCGCCTCTTTGGTTCGTGCGAGAGACAGAAATGAGTGTGTTTTGGTTTATATACATGGCACACTTGTAATAACTTGAAATTGTGATGGGCATTTAAGTCATTTTGCCCCTCAAATGGCGGCCACGCGCTTAAGCTGTTTCGGAAAAGCTTCTCCTCTCCCACTCAAAGAAAAAGCTGATTTTTGGCTTACAAAAAGCTATAATATGTATTATTAAGCTAAATCAAACACACCAAAATAGCTTAAATTAAGCTAAAAACTGAAATAAACTAAAAATAGGCCCTACCAAACAGGGCAATTATGTGGTTTTAAAAGCTAGGGTCAGATGTTAAGAGCAGGTATCAGATTGAGGCAGTGTTATTAAAAACGCGCCTAGGTGCGCGCCTAGGCACAAAGCCCAGCCATGCCCACCCCTTGTGCCTTGCAATGGTCAAGGCGAGGCGATTTCACTAAGGCGCGATTAAAGCGCACGACTCGAGCTAGGCACATTTAAGCCCAAGGCGCAGGCCTTGAGGGCTTTTTTTTTTTTTTCCATACAAATTGGACCACCAAGATTTCATGGGTCAACTACAGCAGATTATTTCCTTCAAATATACTTGAAGGTTTAGCCCAAATCAGCGACGGCGAAAGAAACACCAAGCCCTAATCCAAATCTCCAAAGAAGTTCTTCTCTTCCAGTCATCTTCCAGCGCAGGCCTCACTCGTCTTCCAGTCCAGGATGTCCAAGTATGTTCTTCTCTTTGTTTCTTCGTCCCTTCTTCTCTCCGCCTGTTCTCTCCGTCTGCTTGTTCGTCAGTCTTCTCTGTCTTCTTCTTCTTCTTCTTCTTCTTCTTCTTCTTCGTCTGTTCTTCGTCTTCTTCTCCTTCGTCTCTTCGTTAGTCCTTCGTCTGTTCTTCGTCTTCGTCTGTTCTTCGTCTCTTCGTTTCTTTTTTGCTTATATTATACCTATCTGCCTTCTTCTTTTTCTTTTATTTTTCGCTTTTCTTTTTCTTTTGTTTTTTTGGCCTTCTCCTCATTTGTTTGAACCTTTTTTTTTTTTAATTCTGAATTGCTCTGTTTGTTCTCTACTTCATAGTTGTCAAATCGGGATTCGTATCGTGAATCGAAATGGTCTCGTACCGAATCGCGAATCGAATCGAATCGTGAATCGAAAAGATTCAGTCACTTTTTCTAAATCACTTAAAAACATATATCTACACATTTAGATGTTAAATGTATCTTATGAATATAAAATATTTAGACTTGAATCAACAAAAATATTATTTTGAATGATAATCACGTAATTTAATAGGTAAGAAGTTAACAAAGGTTCCTATGTAAAATCACCATCTTACCCTTTTTTTTTTTTTTTTTTAAAGATTTTTTTATCAACCATTCTTAATAAAGGTAATAACCAAATAGAAACTATTAATTTCTAAAGTAACAATAGTTAACAACAATATTGATATTTGGACAATTAGCATATATATCTTTCTAAGTAAGAGTGAGCAAATAATAAGAAAGAATTATTTAAGATATTTTATTTTAAAGCCTAAAACATTTTAACAAGTATAACTGACCTCACACATGTAGTATTCAATTTAATAAAATAGTAATAGATAATTCATAGTGTAACTCTAATCTTAAACATCTTTAGAAGATATATTACAGTTTTTTGAATGGGACAAAAATAAAAAGAAAGGTTAAAAATATGTTAGGTCTGACTGAATCTGATTGGATCCTAAAAAAAACTCCACTAAAATAATAACAAATCATATATATATGTTGGTTATTTTGGTATTAAATACTATTAGAAGTTGTATTATGTCACTTTCACTAAAAAGATGAAAAAAATGAGTCGAAAATATGTCAAACACAATAATTTCAAAAATTGCATGAATCGTAAAAAGTGAATCGAATCGTGAATCGATTGTGAATCGTGCGATTCACTAGAGATTCACTTCCAAAATAGATTCACTCATAGATTCGTATCGATTTTGCAAAAATTGCGAATCGAATCGCGAATCGTAAGATTCTGATAACAGAGCTCTACTTCTATGATTTAGATGGCATCTGAAAGTACAAGAAAAGATCTTGCATGGAAATATGCACATCAGTTAGATCCTAAGAACCCAAATCAATTTAAGTGTAATTTCTGTGGTAAAGTATCTAATGGAAAGGTTTATAGAGTCAAACAACATCTTGTTGGAGGTTCAAGGAATGTCACAGCTTGTCAAAAATGTCCACCTGATGTAAGGGAAGAGATAAAAGTGTATATGGGAAACAAGAAAACACAGAAAGAGCAAATGAACTTGTTGCCTCATTTTGATGAAATGAACAATGATTTTGAAGAGGGTGAAGATGACATTGCTTATGACATTCATCGGCCTCATGGACCAAGTGGTAAATCATTGGCAAGCAATCAAAATAGTTCTTTTGCTGGATCAAAAAGGTTGAAAAAGAAGGGGCCCATGGATGTATTCTACACACCCAATCCTGATTTTGTGGTGCAAAATAGAAAAGGAAAACAAACAATAATTGATCACAATGATCCTTATAAGAAAGAATTAAGAGACCGAGCAGTGATAAGAATCACAATGTGGATGTATGATGCAGGTATAGCTTTTAATGCAGTTAGTTATGATAGCTTTGGACCAATGGTTGAAGCTATTGGGCAGTATGATCCTGGTATGAAACCTCCCAGTTTCCATGAAGTGCGGGTTCCATATCTGAAGAAAGAGTTGAATCATACAAATGAGTTGATGAGGATTCATAAAGAGGAATGGGTGAAATATGGGTGTTCCTTGATGTCAGATGGATGGACTTCGCAGAATGGGAGGACTTTGATTAATTTTTTAGTCAATTGTCCTAGAGGAACTATGTTTGTTGAGTCCATCGATGCTTCAAGCTATTCAAAGGATGGGCAAAAACTCTTCGAACTACTTGATAAGTTTGTGGATGATGTTGGAGAAGTTAATATAGTCCTAATTATCACAGATAGTGCCTCAGCTAATGTGTTGGCTGGTAATAATCTTTTGTCTTGATTCTTAAAAAATATGTCCTTACTAGCTAGTTAGTTAGTTAGTTTAGTTGTTATTAAATAATCTTCTGTGTTTTGTTTCTATAATTTTAATAGGTAAGTTTTTGGAGGCAAAGAGACCACACCTTTTTTGGACACCATGTGCGGCTCACTGCTTGGATTTGATACTGGAAGATATTTTCAAATTGCCACATATGAAGAAGACATTTGACAGGGCTATTCAGGTACACGGTTATATTTATAACCGTCCAGGTGTGTTGAATATGATGAGGATGTTTACACAGTTAAAGAATTTGGTCAAGCCTGCAAAGACAAGATTTGCAACAGCCTTTCTCACCCTATCTAGAATTCATCAACAAAAAAACAACTAGAGAAAGATGTTCACTTCGGAGGAATGGACAAGCTCCAAATGGACAAAGGAGCCAAAGGGTAAACAAGCAACACAGATTATGTTGATGCCATCATTTTGGAATTTGGCTGTCTATGCTCTTAAGGTCTCAGGTCCACTTGTGCATGTGCTTAGGTTGGTTGATTCTGAGAAAAAACCTGCCATGGGATACCTAATACCCTTGGGGAGGGGATTCATAGTGAGGAGGTAGAGATGGTATTAGAAAAATAGTGAGGGGATTAGAAATTTTTTTATTTTTTTTATTTTTTATATATTGGAATTTTTTTTTAAAATATAATTTTTAATTTTTTATATTTTTTTATTTGTTTTATTATTTTATATAAAAATAATTTAACAATTCCTCACTACTAATCCCCTCACTATCAATCCCCTCCATTCTATCTCCCAAAACAAACGGGGCCTAAGGTCTCAGGTCCACTTGTGCATGTGCTTAGGTTGGTTGATTCTGAGAAAAAACCTGCCATGGGATACATTTATGAGGCTACGGATAGGGCTAAAGAAAGTATTACAAAGTCATTTAATGAAAAAGAAGAAAAATACAAGAACATCTTTGAAATCATTGACAATGGCCTCGTTTGGGAAGTGGCTATTTTAGTAGGCTATTTTAGTTTTTGGCTATTTTAAGTAGGCTAAAATTTTTGTGTTTGGGAAGATGATTGGATTTTTTTGTGGTTGGATGTGATGTTTGTGAGAGAAAAAGTGAAATGATTATGGATTTGATGTGATATTTTGTCTTATTAGCTATTTTAGCCTATTTTGTCTTTTTGTGATTTTTAGCCTAAATTTGGCTACTTTTTTTCTTCCCAAACACCCCCAATAGGTGGAATATCCAATTGCATCAACCTCTTCATGCAACTAGCCATTTTTTGAATCCGGAGTTCTTCTATTCTAATCCAAGTATTGAGCATGATACTGAAATCATGTCAGGGTTGTATAAGTGTGTGTCAAGGTTGGTTGGAGGCACTGACATTCAAGATAAAATCACTCAAGAAATGAGTATTTATACAAAATCTGAAAGTCTCTTTGCGATGCCACTAGCAATTAGGCAGAGAATGACAAGGGCACCAGGTAATCCATTTTACACCATTAACTTTTTCATGCCTCTAGATTAAATCAAAAGTTTCTAGTTGTGCTAAAATTAGTTGCAATTCACAGCTGATTGGTGGTCTGCATATGGTTCTTCAACCCCAAATTTGCAAAAGTTTGCCATAAAAGTTCTTAGCTTAACCTGTAGTGCATCTGGTTGTGAAAGAAATTGGAGTGTATTTGAGCATGTGAGCATCTACCTCAAGTTTGGTGAATTCCTTTTTTTTTTTTTTTCCCTTCTCATGTGGTAAATTTTAATACATTCTCTTTTTCTTGTAGCTCCACAACACACTTGATTTGGTTGGGAAGATGGATGGAGAAGATGATGAAGATAACGATTATGTGTTCGATGATGAAAGTTTGACGTGGGGTGATGTTGCTAGAGCTTCTGGTGTTCGGGAAAGAAATAAGCGAACTAGATCAACAACTTCAAAGACACCATCATCGTCGAGGGCAAGGCCAAGGGGTTCTAGATCATCAAATGCACGTCAATTGATAGATGAGGAAGAGGCAGATTCAGAGGAGACAGAGGAGACAGAAGAGGAAGATGTAGAGGGATACAAATCCAGTGATGAAGAAGAAGATTATGAATTACATGCTGTTGATATTGAGGATGATGATGATTGTTAGATCCTCATTGGATAAATGGAAGCAAAGACTTTATGTTTTGTTGGTTTAATTTGTTGATGTTTTGAAATGCATGCTTAAACTTGAAATATTGTTATTAGTTGACTTTTAGATCATGGATATTCACGTTTTATGTTTTGAAATGCATGCTTATACTCATTTGTCTATGTTAAAATAGCGATATTTTATGGTATTTATTTTTTAAAATGTTCAATATTGCATTTTGTTTATGTTATACCAGTTAGTTATTTGCTTATATGTCTCATATTAAATTATATTATTTTAACTTGCCATAGTGCGCCTTACTTCGATAAAGCCCGCGCCTCGCCTTGCACCTAAGGCCTCAAGAGACCTTGGCGCCTTGGTGCGCTTATCGCTTTTAATAACACTGGATTGGGGTAAAAAAATTGCTTCCTATTGATTTTTATGGAGCAACATCTAGCCATTGTACTTACGTGTTCAATCTTATCCCTAATACTTTTTGGAAAAGGCCTGATGGCTGCAAATCTTTATTAAGACGATCCTAAATATATCTCAAGTGTCAGTTCAACCACTGTGCTCGATGGAAACCGTCCAATCAGCCACCACAAACCAGTTCAGGCAAATTTTTCCAAACTAAAAACTGATAAATCAAAATGCTGCTAATACCAATCCTTTCCTAGCCTTTTATTAATTTTTTCCCCTTCCTAGTTTACATCTCTAAATATTCACCAACATGGGTAGGCATTTGACCATTCTATTTCTTAGTTTTCTTGATCACAAAAATATACAAATCACAACAATTATCCAATATCAAAAACTGCGTGAGAGAGAGAGCGAATCTACCCGGGTATTGGATCAGACCATCTTCTCTTTATTTCAGACTTCGATCGAACCTCTTTAAGCTTTCCATCAACTCCATAATCTCTCTCCATAACAAGATTGATCCCTTCATCCGAGTACCACCCGACTCCAATACATAGGATGCCATCTTTGTTCACATCAACATAACCTATGACAAATCAAATATGATGTCAGGATTAAATCTTCTCAGTTCAACGAATCAAGCCTTCCGCTACTAATATTTTGATTTGTAGAAATTGGAATATTCCCTTATATGTATTTGACTATTAACTCTCAGATTTATTTTGATTGGTTGTAGTTGAGTTTTTTCTACTCTTTTAATGGACGGTATGCGTTCCTTACTGATGTCCTTCTCTGTTTTTGGAAATAAAAGAGAGAATTACATCCCAGTGGCATATAAAAAGAGTTTTACATAAACATGGACGGGTGCAAGTGACACTTGCAAGTTGCCCCCCACTATAGAACGACTTACACCCCACATGTTTTTGTAATATTTTTCCTCTGTCCCACTCACTAATATTTTATCAATTTGTAGTATTTTATAATTTTATGTGTGTGTACACATTTTTAGGTTTTTTTTATATAAAAAAAAAAAAAAACAAACAAAACAAAATAAAAAACCACAACCTGTGACACCACCAGGCAGCCAAAGGACGGTCACGTCCTGCATGTCTAGCAACTCTTCCTCTCCAAAGTAAACCAGATTCTCGGGCAAGTTTCTCTTCTTCAAAGTCTCTGTGCAAAGGTACACATAAGGAGTGCCATTGTTTTCCTCTGTTAGCATCTCTTCTTCTTCACCATAGATAGGTGTAGCACTCACCTCAAACACCTTCCAAGAACCAGTCAGCTCTGATGGCTGAGTTCTTTTTCTCTGAGAAAATGGCTTCAAATCAAACTCCAGATCGCTGTGACAATGATATGTAAGACATTACTCTCATATAAAGCCTGTAGCCTCGTATTATTCAGGCTTCTAACATTCCATATAAAGCTCTAAGAGTAATAGTACCATAATTCAGAAAATAGGAAATGGAAGAACAGCATGTTCAATGCTGGAAATTTGTATTAATAATAAGATAATGGTATGTATATAATATGATAGTGGTTTTAGTGGTAGATAGTGGCATGCATAGAATATGTGATAGTGGTGTTGGTGGTAGATAGTGGCATGTATAGAATATGTGATAGTGGTGTTGGTGGTAGATAGTGGCATGTACATAATATGTTAGTGGTAGATAGTGGTAATATATAATATGTAAGTGGCATATAATGGGTTATAATGATGTTTGTAATATCTCCTATATAAGGAGTGTCATTTGGTCTTGTAAGATAAGAAGTTTTGAATATAACAGAAATATATTCCTTCTTCCTCATATTTTTCGGAGTTCTTCTTCCTCATATTTTCTAAGTTTCAAAAAGGTTTTGAAAAAAGCAATTCAGAGAAACATGATCAAGTGTACCAGAATCTCACAACTTGGCCCTAGTCATCATTCTAGGTGAAGGGAAGGAAACCACTTCAAATGAAATCTCAAAATCTGCACAACTAGAAATAAAAGTCCTTCCAACTCTTACCAAGGAAGAAAATGAAGATCTGTAAACTCATCAATCTACATGGTTTCCCATCAGAAAAGATCATTTTCACCACCCTAATCTTTTTTTAAGAGTTATTCTAGCCTATCCTAATATGAGTGTAGTGGCTATACATAGCTTTATAAGTAGGGTTCCCAAGGACTATTTATCATAGTGCAAGTAACAACAGTTATAAAAAAATAAATAATAAAAAGAACAGAAAACTAACAAGAATAAGGAGTGTGAGACTGATGTGCCTTACAAAAATAAAATTGTTAAAAACAAGAAAACTTAGAAGAGAATAATGTGGTAGATTGGTGGAAGTGCATTTATAAAGCAAAGAACCAGTCCTTTGTGCTGGAAATAATTATTTATTAGTTACAATAATATGGAAAAAAGTAGAGCAAACCACAACCAAAATATGAATAAATAAGAAATATGATAGGAGACGGAAATTAAAAAGAAATGTGGTATTTCCTTGAAATGAAAATGACACCCAAAGTCAGAAGGGTATTCCCTCGAATTTTGTGAAATTTAAGGGAGATCCTGTTTCCACTAGTTCCACTAACAATCCCCATAAGAATGTGAAGCGAAGTCCTACATCACTTGGCTACTAAAATAATATGCAGGTGCGGGCATCCTCACCTCTTGAGCTAGCTTTTGGGGTTGAGTTCTACCCAAGACCGTGTAACATGGTATCAAAGCCGGAGTACTTAGGAAAGGGTAGGGTGTCTCCCTGGCCTGCACGCCGCAGGTGCTGCCAAGTGAGCACGTTGGGCGTGAGGGAGCGTGTGAAGTGAAATCCCACATTGCTTGGCTACTAAAATAATATGCAGTATAAAAGCATGAGGGCACCCTCACCTCTTGAGCTAGCTTTTGGGCTTGAGTTCTACCCAAGACCGTTTAACAAAAAAACCATGATTGTTACACAGTACTGCAGAGTATACCCATTTTCCTCTTGTGGGAAAGCAATCACTTCTCCCAATGTCAAAATGCAACCTTAATGTTGCTTCCAAAACAATAAAGAAAATTACATATAGAGATGATTAATTAATGTTTGTCCTCCCAAGAATGTTTGCAGTCTCAATTCCCAAGAAAATATTAAATTGACAAATAAATTTTGAAATCAGAATGTGAAAACAAGTCCAAGTAAGAACCCAACATTCAATACATGCACCTACAAAAGCTAAACAATTCAATCATAGCAAACATTCACAGTATGTACCAAACATATGGCGCTATCACTCTTTCCATAAGCATTATGCAGAGAGAAGCAGATACAAAATGCTTCCACCTGCACTGACATATAATGCAATGCTCTACCCATAACTATTGATTTTTTTCGGTGAACCTAAGAAGACAGTTCCTCCACACAAAACATTTAAAAAAAAAAAAATACTAATAAATAAATAAATAAAATCACGCTTGAAAGCTTTTGCGGGGATGGAAAGCATGAAAAGCCTATTTGCAGTAAGAACATCTGTTTAATTTGAAGGAGCTAGAATACGATTAAACTATTCATGCTTATAGTTCTATTGTTGCAGTTGATTGTGGAGATGGTGGTCTTAGAATCCAAATCAACTTAGAAATATATTTCATTGCACTTATCAATAAACTTGCATAACAGATATACATACTTCAAGGTGGACCCATACTAATCACTTGTCCTTTTTTTTTCCTGTGAATGGTATAAAGCAAAAACGTTGCTTTTGCAGGTTGCAGCCATTACAGCAAACCAAACCATATTAAATCTGATTCAGTGGTAGAAAACAGGAAGAACAGCACATCAACTTCAAATAATAAGAGACAATGTAGTATTATATCTTCATGCTCTGATACTCAATGAACAAAGAAAACAAGAGACATTGGTGCCTAAGCAAAAATGATACCTTTGGTCAAGGATATTAGCAGGGCTGGCCCACTGTTCTTCATAAACAGCAACCCTCATAATTTGTATGTCTGAACCGCCATTACTGAATTCTATCGTATGAACAATCCGCAGTCTTTTATGGCAACCTTTCACCAAACACTAAGCAAGGGAACATTAATAAACTGAATAAGTCTCTTTTATATTCTAGAGGTCCAATTAACAAAAAAACTGCAACTTTTTTATCATCCAATTTCAAAAAGTTAAGGGGGTGCAGTGTTGAGGGGTGGAGGTGACTAAATATTAAATCTCTTTGGGACCAAAAGAAAAAGAAATAGCAAAAAAAAAAAAAGGTGAGAGCAATCAAATTTCAGTAATGCAGCTATAGGATATTCAAAACTTAGTATGGGTAAAAAAGAGGTTTTTGTGCAATCAAGAAATTATAGCCCGTGAAAGCAAGAGTTTCTACTCTAGTCACTGCCACCATCACCTTGAACATCGTGCAAAACCCCCAAGACACCACTTGATCATCAGTTATCACCAACACGTCCACCACCATTAATGTTGTAGACACTGATGATACTTAACAAGAACACCAACCAACTCCATTTTTTATGAGACCACCAAAGTTACAAGCCAGCATTTGTTTTTTCTGTTTCCACGGAAAGTACCAGTACCAGATTGACCGAGTTTCCACTATAACATAAGTAGTAGAGAAAAAAAGTAGTTTTGTAGATATATAGAGAAATTTGAATATGTTTAAGAGACTGGATGAAAAAATTACGTACATATAATAAATCATATTTGTGAAGTGCAAATAGAAGAGCCCTTCAACATTCCAAACATAATATATTAGTAGCAGCACAATGAATTATGTTAAGCTTATTACTAAAAACCAGAATTGAGGAACCCACTAAAAGGATCTGCTGAAGGTAGGGGAACATTCTAAAGAAGTTTGTTTCATCTTCTCCAACTTGATCCCATCCACCCACATCGTCTAAAGTAAAGAAAGAAGAATTTAACTTCATCTCATCCACATCGTCTAAACTAAAGAACAGAAGGCAATAAAAGAACTAGAAAGGAAGACTGATAAAACCGATTACAACCATTTCTGCAGATCACTCTTGCATCACAGAAATTCCCTCCCTCCCTCCCTCGATCACCCTCTAACCCAGGAACCTTTTATGCAAAGTACTTGATTTTGACTTCACTCAAATAACAAAAGAAATAGCCATCCAACCACATTCTAACATCCTGTTAGTGGTTTCCTATAGGCAGCATGACCAATCCAAATGGAGACTAGATGAAAACAACCTCTTGGAAAATCCTTCAAGTCATCCGGGTTTATATGCATTCTTACTTTGAATACTTCTATATGAAGTCTGTAAGTCAAAAGTTCACTTTGTCGAGCAATATAAAGATGCTGCACAGCATAACCATATATTGCAAAGACTCTCAATCATTGCAAAAGAAGTTCACATTGTACATGATAAAATGCAGCTCAAATGACACAACACAAGACTCAAAAGTACTCAAATCTTTTGTTTTAATTTTGTCTATTTCTCTTTTGATAAGCACATTTTATTCTTTTTTTATTTGAAGTGTACCATAGTATAATTTTTAACTTTCCTCAATCGGTGCACAGCACTCAAATATTAAATTAAATAACAGAACACTTTCACTTTGCATTCCTACCCAATCATATCAACAATACTAAACTAATAATACTTTTTTAAGTATTATACTAGTAAACAACCTCTAGGAAAATCCTTCAAGTCATCCGGGTTTATATTCATTCTTACTTTGAATACTTCTATATGAAGTCTGCAAGTCAAAAGTTCACTTTGTCGAGCAATATAAAGATGCTGCACAGCATAACCATATATTGCAAAGACTCTCAATCATTGCAAAAGAAGTTCACATTGTACATGATAAAATGCAGCTCAAATGACACAACACAAGACTCAAAAGTACTCAAATCTTTTGTTTTAATTTTGTCTATTTCTCTTTTGATAAGCACATTTTATTCTTTTTTTATTTGAAGTGTACCATAGTATAATTTTTAACTTTCCTCAATTGGTGCACAGCACTCAAATATTAAATTAAATAACAGAACACTTTCACTTTGCATTCCTACCCAATCATATCAACAATACTAAACTAATAATACTTTTTTAAGTATTATACTAGTTAAACCACAAAAGCCTGTGATAATTAAAGAAATATCAGAAAACAAAACAACATGGTGAACTTACTTGTTCAAACTTGAAAGTTGGGTTAAGGTAGTAATTAGATTCAGTAGCTTCACCAACTGGAATATCAACTGGACCTCTGGAGTACGATCCATCCTTCATGAAAAAGCAATCAAAGTTAAGCGGTTGTCTAAAAGAATAATCATACAATTTTCCTATCATCACCATGCAATATTCCATCAAACAGAGTTTGTACATACCATTTTCAAATTGAAAATATTAACAATAATAATCAGATTTATCTTCATATTCCTAACTGCAATAGATAATATAAATCCTTCCAGTTCTAGTTCACTGCCACAATTTTCTGCTAAAAAAGGCCAGCCTAATGCATAAGGCTCCCACCACTACAAGGTCTGGACAGGATCGGATGAGACAATTGTCTGGTAATACTTTGAAATGCAATCTTAACAGAACAGGGGAAGTACTAATTACCCATATAGACTTCCCCCAATGATATTAAAGACATGATTTTTCCAATATTTTCTCCAGCCATCATCATCATCTTAAAATATTTTTTGTGGATATGACCTATCAATAATTTTGAACAATTTGAGTCTCATAAAATGAAAGCCAAAAACTTGGGGAGTTCATGCAGGGCCTACATATCAAAGATCAAAACACAAAACAGTTATACATGTTAAGTTACAAGGAGTCAACTTCAAATTTTACCAATTAAAGCTTGATTTCACCACCATCCATGTTGATTGAAAATCATATAATCCTCTGGCCTATGAGTTTTGAACAGGATGTACAAGTTTAGCAACCAAGATTTAGATTCTTATAACCTTATTTACGCTTCGAACCAAAGTTCCTTTAACAGGAAATATAATTGTATTGTAGCAGCCAAGATTTGAGTTCTAAAAACCTTCATTTTATTACAAATTAACTCGTGTGCAGATCACGTTTTATTAGTCAACAACCTATTCACATATAAGCATTACACAGTAACCAAAAAACAAGAATATTGCAAAGAGTACACAGTTTCCACACTACAGTTCATAGGAAACTTAAACACAATGCACTTTCTGTAGGGTGAAACATAGATAAAGGACAAACTGAATGTCAATCAAGGTAAAGAAGTACAGATATCATATATGGAACAAAAGTATCCCAAGAAGTATGATTTCAAGGTTCTATTGAGTGGAATGGAAGTGAGTTTTCTACTTGACTTTTTTTTTTTCCCTCTTTTATTTTCTTTGTTCACACCCACCCAGTTTGAGAGAGGAGGAAGGGGAAGAATTGATGAGGAGGAGATACTTTTGATGCACAGAAAATAAAATGCAGGAAAAAAAAAAAAATTCTTCATCCTTAAAAACATATTATGAATGTTAAAAGCAGATAATTTTCCTAAGAGTTTTGTTGTAGGTGCATAAATGGCCAAATAATTGCTACCATTCTTCAAATGGCATTGCAATAAACTAAGAACCATTTAATCAAATTGCAAGGCTACTGAAATCATAAACTCGGCCTAAGTTATGGCTTTTACTGTTTTATTCTCAGTGCACAGTGCAGATCAATCTTCAATCTTGAGATTATATTCTAGTTGACAGTAAGCTATCAAATGGATTTGGACAATCTGGGGCTTTAGCAGTTGTGCATCCAATAAGTAGAGCAGAAACAATCCAAAACAATTTACATTGAACAGGGAAAATTGAAAAGACCTAAAAAAAAAGAAAAAAACATCGTGCATAAAATAAGGCCAACCTAAACTGGAAACAGAAACTTATACAAACAAATTGTCAGTTTTTAGAAACACTAGCCCTATTTGAACCAGATAATACCCAGCACCCACAACCATAGAGTCATTAGTCCCTGGCTGCAAACCTGAAAGCTTGTAGCCTATAATTAACTCTAAGATCAACCAACTTCTTTTAGGTAGTTTACGCAACTTTTTCCATCCATAAAAGAGTTCTTGAGTAATGCATCAAAAAAGGGGTAAATCCTACCTCAAAGAAAACAAGACCAGGCTCCATGCCCATTAGATCTTCTTCCATCACATCACTAGTTTTAAAGTTGAAAGACTCAAATTTCGGCAATACATGTCTTTTCGGGCTTCCATCACCTGTTTCCTTCACAGGTAAAGATGCATCCCCATCTTTAGATTTTACTTTGCTGCTATTGCTCCCTCCATTCAGAAGCTGAATTTCACCATACGGATTCAGTGTCACCCAGTTTATTATCCTTCGAATCTGAGATGTCTTCCCTACAGATGGGGATGGCACTACCTCAATACCGGAAAGGGTATAGCAGTCATAAAGGTTTTCACTTTTATTTCCAATCTCAATGGGCTCCATCTCAGCTGTTATGGGTGAAAATACTGCTCCCAATCCCTTCCATATCCCACTAACACTACTAGCAAAGGTATTCCATGCTGGTCGAATAACCGGTTCCTGAGAAGAAAGCCCACCATATGCATTAGAATAGAATAAAAAACCATAGAAGAGAACCCAGTTCTACAAATAGACATGCACTCAAACAAGCATGTGCATGAACACATCTGAAAGCTAACACCTGGTTTTCGTTGGGCTTAAATTTGAATTTATCTAGGCTGACTTTGAGCAACTCTAATTTTCAAAAGATAAAGGAAATCATTATTCTAGTCCAATTTCTAAATTTAGAACCTTGGAACCAAATGAATACAACTTGCAATACAACTTGCTGCCAAATGTTAAAGACTTGATAGTGTGCAAATACGCAGAGAAATTGGATTATTACAGTTTCAACAATCACCCAATCCAAAAAATAACTTAATGGCTTGACGGCGTGCAAAAATGCAGAGAAATTCAATTATTACAGTTTCAACAATCAATGAATCCAAAAACCATTTAATTGCAAAACAACTGTCAGAACCACAATTTCTAACAATAAATAGAGGCTTTCACTTCATATTCCTAATTTCCACAAAATACCAATAAAAAAAACATTTAAGAAGTAATTGAAATGCCTTATAAGTTTGCAATATATCTCAATATCAAACAAATTAACCCAATTCAGTTGCTCCATCCAAATGATCACCTAACAGCTACTCTCCCCAATCATTAGTACTGTTGATTTTGAAAGTAGCTGAGTTTACATAATGAAGTTTATCACAGAAATTTAAGTACCTGAGTTTGAAGAACAGTCTCAACCTCCATTAACATAGCACCAGAGACCATAACCTTATCGCCTTTAGACCTCTTCCTCACACTCCTCAGCTTCTTCCCTCTCTTCCTCGTCGGACCAGTCCTCTCCTCAGCCATCGCATTATCGACGCTCCACAGATTGTCCTTGCCCCTCGTCCCCTTCACTCTCTCTTTACTTTCACTGCTGTTTCTCTCTCTATGCTTCTCGCGGCTGGGGCTCCTATTGCGTTCGTTGCTGAACCTGCACGATACGCAGGGGTAGGGCTTGCGGACAGAGACGAAGGTCAGAGAAGATGATGATGACGATGATGATGATGATGATGATGATGATGAAGAGGATGAGGATGAGGATGAGGAGAGAGAGTGATGACTAAGAAACCCTAGAAACCGCTGGTGTGAGCTCGCGAAGGTCTTACAGGCGTCTATACATGGAGACTGCATTCTTGAAGGATACATATTGATCGAGAGAGAGAGAGGGATTTCTCTGTTTTAGGGTTTCATGAACCGTCCGAGAATTTTTCTTGAGTGATGCTTAACGGTCCATGGATTTGGACAGATCGCGTAAAATCTCGCCTAATCTCATAAAATCATATTGATTTGTATCAATTTGTATTACTTTTTTATCGGTAATTAATATTTAATATTTAAAATTTATAAATTGCTGTCGAATGAGTTTTTTTTTTTAAAAAAAAAAATTACTAGTATTAAGATTTTATAGTATAAAGTATATTTAATATTTTAATTATATCTCTTAAGTTGATCCAAAGAAAATTCACGTCACATAGAAAATTGGTTCAAAAAATTCTTCAGAATTTCTCTGGAAATTCCCTAAACTTCCCACTGTAAATTTCTCCGTCCTCCCCTTCTCCAAATTTCTCTGCCTTCCATATACTTCCAGTTCTCCCAGAGAAATTTCTCTGCCTTTCCACAAAATTACATCTCCAGAGAAATTTTAAATTTCTCTGCCTTCCCTGTCTCTCCTGAACTCAACACTCCAGAGAAATTTTTCTCTGACTTCACCGGCCTTCAATTGATCAAAATGAATCTAGAGAAATTTGAAAACCCAAAGAAAATTAGTCAAAATGAACCCAGAAAAAATTGAATTTTCTCTGGGTTTGAGTGAAGAAGCTATAAAGATTTCGATAGGAAATCGTATGATTATTTCGGTAAGTGATGAACCGGCTAAAGAAAATCACCAATGCATACACTTGCAGATATGTATACATCACATATCTCAGTTGAGTCACTTATATATATATATATATATATACACACACCAAAAACAATATATATATTCATTATAATTACAGCCAAAGAACCAATTTTCCCAAAACACAGAGAGAAAATAAACATAGCTAGATAAACTTGTGTTTTGGATATATATATATTTTCATCTCTCCTGTTTGGTCACTTTTTTCTACCATTGCAAAGATCTCAAGGTTTCAATCAACAACAACAACAACAAGAAATGTCAAAATCGATACAATAAAATAAAATCAATTGCTTGGCTATTGAAAGGCATGATAGCACAAAACACAAAATTCACTGCTACTCAAAATTGGTACAAAACCACAGTGATTCTTTCTAAGTTCCAGATCCATAAACTCCAAAAAAAATAAAATAAATAATAATAATAATTGAACAATACCTAAATTTATCTGTTGAATCATCCAAAACACAAAAAATATATATATATTGACAAAAAAAAATATATATATATATATATATATCTATTGAACCCAGTAACTGCAGCCATTACCTAATGTTGTTCTGAATGGCTTTCTTCATGGACTGTAGCGAGGAGGAGGAGAGGTTATGGGATCCAGAGATCAACGCTCTGAAGAAGCTTCGAGAATGGTTGGAGATCGTCGCTGAGCCACGGTGGAAGACCTTCATACGGCAGTTCAATCGGAGCAATAGTGGTCGAGGAGTTCTTGACATAGGGCTTCTTGGATTGATCGAGCTAGATCGACGAGAGAGAGAGCAGAGCAACGAGGAGAGAGAAGAGGTGAGGCATGTGTCTGAAAGAGAAAAGAGAGAGAGAGAGGTGAAGGTTTGAAGCTTATACCAAATTTCTCTATGATACATGGATGTGGAGTTGAGGGACATTAGATATCATAAAATAATATTGTGAATCTCTTCCATTACTAAAATTGGGAGAGGGACCTTAGACTAATTTTCTGCTGTCGAAATTGTTTCGTTTTCCTATTGTTAATATATCTATATATATAAACTTAGAAAAATGATTTAGACCCCCCATTGGGGTCTCAATGGGTTGTGATTGACCAATTTTTTTTAATATATTTTTTCTTCTTCTTTAATCACCCACCCAACGTGTGTTGTGGGGGTGGTGGGGTCGGAAGAATGGGGTCTCAATCAATTCTGATTAACTTATAATGAAATATTAAAATAAATATAAATATAATAGAAATTTAATACATAAAATTTATTATAAATTAGTAGTTATATATATGAAAAAAAGGGAAAATTATCTATAAGTCTTATTAGGGAGACTTATGTAATGTAAAGTCCTATGAAATTTCTTATTTAGTTTGAAGTCCTAATTAAATTAGAAAGTGTTCCATTAAGTCCTATCTATTGTGTTTAAATAGAATTAGTTTACTATTATACCCTTGATATATGTTGCCATGTTTTAACCGTATTGTTTCCAAATTGTTTGTTGCCGTGATATGCGCCATGATCGCGGAGTCTGTTTGGTTTTCCAAATTTTACTGAGTTGGATGGTTTGGTTGTTTCATCTTGCCGATTTGGAGTCAGATTGTTTAAGCGAAGGAGATCAAGTTATCTGCTTCTTCAATTGGTGAGTGTTGCTTTGGTTTTTTAACCGATTGTTTTGTTTTCAATGTCCTCATATATCGTATGGATTTCTCAATCTGTTATAGCAATCCATTGGCACACTTTGTAGTGGTAATCTCGCATCAACTTCCGTGGTAATGATATTGTATTATAATGTTCACATACGTGTCACATTACGTTTCGTAAAATAAAGTGAGAATGTGAGAATGTTGTTGGGTTCTGCGAAATTGTACAGCCATACATCCGTTAGACTCGAAGGGTGTTACGTGCGTAATGGTCTTTGTTACGTGCGTTTGTATTTAGTTTGTGTTTTGCAGTTGTGGTACTTTTTCAAAACGTATGTGTCACATTACAAATCACAAAATTATTGGGTTTCTTTTTTTTCCATTTTAATTTCACAGTTGCTTGTTTGTGGATACTATTACAATGTATGTGAATGTAATTGTTTATGGATACTATTGTAATATATGTGAATGTAACTCACATACACATGGATATGAGCATGGTTTTTGTATTGTGTTGTCCCATTGTTGTATTTACTGTGGACATATGTGTCATATTGCGTTTCGCAAACTCTCTGGTTCTTGTTTTTTATAATTGAATGTGACAATGTTGTTGGTTGATGGAAATTATTGGAATGTATTTTAATGTTACTCTAACTTTTCATTGTTTGTTATTTAATTTGGGTTGTCATTTTCCAGATATAAAATTAATTATGATTGAATATGGGTTGAACTACGTTGTACGATATCGATGTTACTGCACTCACATTTGACTTCATGTCACATATCTTCTATATATTGTTCTTTTGTTTTTTGTAGAATGTCTGCCACGATTAATGTTTCATTCATTTTGTTGGGCAAGATATGGACATCATGCTCTTTTGCACCTTCGGTTCATCTACGATTGCTGTCAGGGGTGTTAATGGATTGACATTAAAACAATTGGTACAAAATTTATGTGACAGGTAGGTGGATGTGACACCATCATCGATTTCCATATCTTACAAATTACCGTGTCACGAGAACCAATTCATGATGAGTAATGATGTGGATATGAAAAACATGTTTTCCATTGCAAGGTCCATTGGTGTTACCCATATCAACGTTGCGATTGACTCACAAAATGAGGTGGATGATTTGATTCGAGGTACTCAATTCTATGGAACTATGTCCGCAAATCAACTGGATCGTCATAGTGAACCATTTTCAAGTCCCCAACCTAGCGTAGATTTGTTGCCCAATTATTGTCGCCATAGTGAGAAAACGTTGATGACAATTGATTGGTCACACGGCATTAGTCACGTAGGCCAATGTTTAGAAGGGGGCGTTGCTGCTTTCCGTTTGGTTCTGTCCAAATATGCTATTGAGTGTGGATTTGACTTCAAATTTGTTAAAAATGATTCAGTGCGGGTCACGACAGTGTGCATGCTGCGAGAGCAAAAAGGGTGTTCATGGTTGATACATGGAAGGGTTCAAACATGCAATGGATATTTTTACTTGAAGAGGTTGAACAACTTACATAGTTTTGGTGTTGTTGTTCGCACTGGGAAGAATAACAGACTTAACTCTGAATTGGTTTGCAATGTTATTGGTGATTGGTTACGTGATAAGCCGCTTATACGTCCGACTGACGTCATGTTTGACCTAAAAAAGGAGTACGACCTTAATGTTAGTTACCACATAGCATGGTTGGGTATAGAAAATATTTCATTCGATCAACTTAAGTGGTACGCGGATGCGGTTATGCAGTACAACCCTGGGAGTTATGTCAACTTGGATTTCGATTAGTCAATCAGCCGATTTAAGTAGTTCTTCATATCATTCAAATCTTGCATTGACGGATTAAACCATATCCGCCCATAATTGTTTCTTGATGGCACTTTTTTAAAAGGGAGATTTAAAGGCAATTTACTTGCAGCGATGGGGAATGATGGCAACAAAGGTATGTGCCTTACGATGATTACTTCATACTTCCATATAGTAACGCATTACATTGTGACTAAACATTTTTTATTAGTCCACTATAGTAGTGGGTGATCCCCAATGGCAAGATTGTTTCCAATTTAATGTTGCTTAATAACATTTGTGTATGGTGCGATTTGAATTGTGAACAATTGTTAATGTGGACGTGAACTTTGTTAAAACTATTACACATCTAACAGTAAAGTTGTCAAATCTGCCAGGTTTATTCCCATTAGCTTTTGCTATTGTTGACTCTGAAACAACTACAAATTGGACTTGGTTTTTATAGCAACTGACGAAGGTTGTTAGTAGTGCTTGCACATTAACTTTCGTATCTGATCGTAATATTGGGTTGCTCGAATCCTTGCCTACTGTATTCCCATCTGCACACCATGCGTACTGCTTACAACATCTCCAAGCAAATTTGAGGGATAAATTACGGTGGGTTGACAACCTTGTCCGCTTTGGTTTAATGGCCAAGTTGCGTGAATGTGCATATGCTCCAAACCGAGGCTTCATTTCAGCACCATTTGACAATGCTAAAGGATCGGGACGATCTGGAATAAATAATTTCTTGGAAGATATGCCACCGAAGCATTGAGCCAATGCATATTTCAGGTTCGTACAATACTTACACGTGCTAACATTGCAAGTACCCAATACGTGATAACATTTTCATTATGTTTTTATAATGTCAACAAGGGCAAACGGTATGGGGAGATGACCTCAAACGCTGCAGAATCGTTTAATAAATGGATATTTAATGTCTGTAATTACCCAATCGCAAGGTTGGTTG